GCCCCTGCCAGCGCCGCGGCCGCCGCGCCCGCTGCCTCACCGGGCGGTTTTGGCTTCTCCTTTGCGGGTGCTAGCGGCTCCCAGCCCGCCGCTGCGCCCGCGGCCGCTGCGGGGCCGGGGGCGCCTGCTGCGCAGCCATTCGCTCTGGGCCCGGCGGGCGGCGCCGCGAGCGCTCCGTCCTTTGGATTTGGTGCGGCTGGCAGCACGCCCTCGTTTGGCGCTCCAAGCAGCACGCCTGCGTTTGGCGCACCCGCCAGCACCCCCGCATTCGGCGCCCCAAGCAGCATGCCTGCCTTCGGCGCCCCAAGCAGCGGCACGCCAGCGTTTGGTGCCCCAAGCAGCAGCACGCCCGCATTCGGCGCCCCAAGCAGCAGCACGCCCACTTTTGGCGCCCCAAGCAGCACCCCTTCCTTCGGCGCACCCGCCAGCACTCCTGCATTTGGGGCGCCCAGCAGCACGCTCACCTTCGGCGCTCCAACTGCCGCCCCGGCGTTCGGCGCGGGCAGCAGCACGACGGCGTTTGGTGCGGGCGCCAGCACCCCCGCGTTCGGCGCAACAGGCAGCAAACCGGCGTTCGGCGCGCCCAGCAGCGGCTCTGCGTTTGGCGCGCCAAGCACGGCGCAGCCCTTCAGCAGCTTTGGAGGCGGCACGGGCGCGACGGGCGCGGCCGCCCCCGGCGGGTTCGGGGCCCCGCCTGCGGCCGCCGCCGCCGCGCCGTCCTTTGGCGGCTTCGGCGCGGCCCCGGCGGGCGGCGCGCCGCCTTTCGGGGGCTTTGGCGCGCAGCAGCAGGCGGCCGTGCCATCCGCAGGCGGCGGCGCGACGTTTGGCAGCTGGGGCAGCGGCGCGGTCGCGCCCACGGCGAGCGGCGCTTCGCAGCAGTCTGCATTTGGTCAGGGCGCGGCCGGCGCCGCGGGCGCTGCTACTGCCCCCTCGCCGTTCGGCGCGCCCTCGGTGCCATTTGGCGGCGGCGGCTTCGGCGCTGCGCCCTCGGGCGGGGCGCCCGCGTTTGGGGGCTTTGGGCCGCCGCAGCGACCTCAGCAGCAGCAGCAGCAGCAGCAGCAGCAGCAGCAGCAGCAGCAGCAGGCCCCGGCGTTTGGTGCGCCGGCGCAGCAGCAGCAGGCGCCTGGCGGCGACGGCTTCAGCATGGGGGCCGGCAACGCCCCCGCTGCCGGCGGCAGCCGCCGGAAGGTCAACGTGCGGCGCGCCGGGCGCCGATAGTTGCCTGGCGGCGACGCCATGCGCCGCGCTCGGTCTCACGCAGTGCGTGGGGTTGTTGGGGTGCTGGATAACTAGTAGGTAGGCTCGAATGTTGCCCTCACATAGTTCCAAGCCTGGACCTCTGTCAGCATATCCAATTTGCGCAATGCCCTCCTGTAGTATGGTTTTTTCCCCCAGTTGTGCGTGTGTCGCGCGCGTCTCCCGCCCGCACCCTGTACCCGCCGGTAGCGCGTCGCCACGTCACCCCAGACCGCCCAGCCATCAGCATGTCGATGTTTTACGGTGGCTTGGTGGTATGCGTGCTTACCAACATGCTGGTAAAATGCACTCAGATCTGAACTTGCGTTTTGGGTGCCAGCAGCCAGCCTAGCATGGACGACAGCGTGCATAGACTGGCACGCACGCATCCTAGCGCAACTCAAGGCAATGCTGTGCTTCCAAGCTTTACCTACATGTCTGGAGCGGCAAGATCTCACCGCCGAGGTGGCTTATGTCCCGTTGCCTACAACTGCTTTTTTTGCGGCCGGCAGTTGCAAGTTGGCTGGTGCCAGGGCAAGTTGGCGCCCAGGCGCATCCGCATTGCGGCTGAGCCTGCAACAGCTGGTAACACGCAAACCCAAGCAATCAGTGTGGACGATGACTTCACTTTCACGGTACACCGCACGCTTACGGGAACCAGTTCTCTGGGCGAGCTGAAACGCACAGGGCGACGACGATGACATGACTCCGGCTTCACTTCCTTTTTATAGTTGGACTAATACAAAGCTGTCAAAGGCTTCGTCAAAGCACTACTGCCTGCTGCAGCGAGGTCGCTCGATCTCAGCAGTGGTAGTGCCCGCTTGCCGATCCCGCACCACAGTGACCTCCATTAGCGCGCGGCCGGCATCTAGTGGCCTGAACTGCCGCTGCGAGGCAGCTGCGGCTACTGAGCCGGGCTCGGAGGACGCCCCTCGCACACGGCCGGCACACAGCGCAGCGAGGCCCGCTGCGCGCGCGATGCTGCTGCTGCGGCTGCCTGCCTTCTTTTTCGCAATATGGCTCATGTACTGGAGCCTGCCCCTGGGCGTGCTGGCGCTGTACATACCCGTGTGGAAGCTGACGGGGCCGCGGAATGACACGTTTTACTGGTGAGAGCGACCCACAGGGGGCGGCGGCCGAGCCGCCCCTGGGGCTCGTTGTACCCATTGCATGTGCATCGCCACCCCCTCTTGCTAGCTTGCGGGGCGCTTCTTTCGCAGACACAAGGAAAGGTCCGGCGTTCCCAAATGATTGGGCCGCTGCTTGAGAGGCGGGCGGCGCCACACTCGGCGCCCCCATGGGCCTGGGCAGCCAGGGCCACCTGCGCAACCGGCGCCCCACCGCTCACTGCGCCGACCCCAGGGTGGAGTTCCTCGTCAACGCCTTGGGCATTCGCTTCCGCAAGCGGGGGGAGGGGGAACTGTACCGCGGCCCGGGGCCGGTGCTTTATATGGTGGGCGGCGTGGGGAGGCTCCCGCCGCCACTGATTGGGGCGGAGACAGCGCGTCCGCCCCCCATCCCCGCCCATCGGGCCATCATCGGGCGCGGCTGCGCGTCGCAGGCGCAGCAAAAGGCTGGTGCGAACGCAGCAGGGAGGGCCGCGGCGCCCACGGCAGCCTGCGCGGCCGCGGCAGCCCGGCACGCGCCTCGAAAACCCCCCGCGCGCCGCCCGCGGGCCCGCCCTCGCCCCCAACCCTCCCAGGCCAACCACCGCTCCTGGGCTGACTTCTTTGTCGATGCCTACCTGGCAGGGGGCCGCGCGCAGATGCTGAGCAGGTGCCCGGCCGGGGCAGCGCCCACAGTTGCACACCGAAATTGCGTTGGATTGTGGGGGCTGCGGCTGCCGGGGCCCGCGTCCCTGGCGCGGACTCCGCCCCAGGGGCCACGCTGCGCGCGGCCGGCGCGCCGAGCGCTTCGATGTCTTGCGCGGGCAAGCGGGGCGGCAGCGGCAGGCCGAGCGCGGGAGGGGCGCGGGCCTGGCGGCCGCCTCCCGGCGGCACCCTCCAACACCATTGGCGTCCCCTGCGCCATCTCCCCGTCACGCGCGCCGCTGCGTCCGACCGTGTCTGCATGCGCAGGATGGCTGTCGTGTACGTGTTCCCGGCGTTCATGCTGCCCGTGGTGTCGATGCGCGGCTGCATCGTCTTCAAGCGGGGCAGCATCAAAGACAAGGAGGTGTGGGGGTGGTATAGGTTGGGGGGAAGAGGTGCAGACACATCAGAGAGTATGGGGGCCTGGGGGCCAGGGTATACTGTGGAGCCAGGCGGGTCAAGTTTGGGATGGTGGGATGGTGGTGTGAGGGGTGGAGAAGAGGGCGAGAACAAAGGCGGGCATGGGGATTGGGGTGGCGTGTGGGGCGGCTGCAAGCCCTCCGACGCGCGGCCGCCGAGCGCTGGCGCACGGCAGGGCCCCGGGGCGGGCGGCGGCGGCGCTCCAGGCTTGGGATTCGGAGTCCATTGTTTCCCGCACGCACACATACACACACACACACACGCACGCACACGCATGCATGCATGCACCCAGACATCCCCAAACGCCCCCCCCCACACACACACACGCACGCGCACACACGCACGCGCACGCGCACGCACACGCGCACGCGCACGCACACGCGCACACACACCCTCGCATACACACACATACACACGCGCGCACACACACACACACACACATACATGCATACGCATGCATGCAT